ATCCTCTCAACCTCCAGGAGAAGGTCGGGCTCCAAGACCTTCTTGTGCCAAAGGTAATCGGTACGTACTTGAGATACGTATCGAGCCTTGTCGCCTGAGGCTTCAAGGCATCTATTATGCATGTGGAACTTCCTGAATTCCTTCATCCATTCCCCATCTTCCTTTTGGCACCGTCCTTCATCCGGGCGCCTTGCTTCTTGCTTCAGCATCTTCCTCCTACAACGAAAAGTCCTGGCGCCAAGTGCTAGTGTTAACGCTAGGCTGCCTGCAAAACCCTTAACATCACCAAAATCGCCGTTTTCACGGTCGATACCCCAACAACCGCAGCGACGAAATGTCTACGCCTTTGCCCTCTGGGGCCCCCAAACCACCGCCGCCGGCCATAATACCGGTTATCCCTCTGCCGGACACCCTTCGCAGTCGGCCAAGAGAGCCCGGACTGCGGACGAGGAAGCCCGTCCCGCCCACGCAACCACCGCCACCCCTGCTGCTTCCGACCCCATTAAGTCCTACGCTGAGACCCTCATTTCTGAAGCCCACGCCAAAGCGGAGGTCTACCGCTCCTTCGCCGCCTTCCTCGACACCGAACTCCCCCGTTGCTCCACCGTCTCGCCCGCTCACGCACGTGAAGCTGACAGCCTCGCACGGACCATCACCGCCGCTCTAAAGATAAGTTCTGCATCCTCACCGCCTACCCTGGACTCACCATTGCCTGCCCTGGACAAAACCGTCCCAGCAGGCAAGGGAAAAGGATATGTCACGTTCGCGGAAATAGCCGCCGAAGACGCAAGCTCGGCCTCTACCTCCCGCTCCTCCCGCTCCCGCTCCAGCTCTACCATCCATACCTTCGGACCTACCCGCAAGGCTGCTCCGCCTCCTACAACGCTTCAAAGTGACGGCCGTGTCTTCCTACGACTTGATAGGGACTCCCCTTTCGCCAATACAGACGCCTTCGCCATCCGTAAAGAAGTCCAGACATTCCTCCCCTTCCCCCTTTTTTTATTGAGGAGGGGCTTTTTTTCTCGCTTCTTTCGCTTCTTTTCGTCCTCCCCACTACTATGTCCTTCTTTTGGAGTCAATAATAACATCATGTTCTTCCATGTCCTCGTATCGTGCTCCGGTGACTTTTCCTGTGGCTGTGGCTGTTGTCTTTCCGCCAGCACCCTCTTGCCGACGTTTTTATCGGTCTTAATATTGCCCAGTTTGATTTCTTTTTGTTTTAGCGCTTCTTTTACGCCTTTTTTGTCTGACTCGTCGTCGGAGTCGGAGTCGTCGAAACTTGATTCCTCCTGGTTATCCTTGGAAGGCCAATAAGTGGGATCTTCTGTGCGTTTGCGTTTGAGCTTGGACTTGGGGTTGGGCTTGTTGGGAATTGGAGGCGGAGGCGGCGGCTGTGGTACATGTAGGGGTTGTAGTGGTGGTCGTGGTGGTAGTACTTTCGTAACAGGTGAGATTTGACTATGACTGAACGCGGGTAAATCACCCGGCACAACGTCCCATTCTGAACCACCCTCCTCGGACTCGGACTCGGGTTCGTCCAATTTGGATGGCGGACGATACGAGGTATCTTGTGTTCTTTGTTTGTTCGCGGCCTTGCTGCCTGCTGTCTTCTTCACCACGGCGAATGCATTCAGCCGAGGCGGGAGATCTTCTTCCACTTCTTCATCTTCATCATCATCCGCGACTAGCAGTTTGCGTAGTCTGGCTTCAAGGTCTTTCCGGTCAAGGTCAAATCGCTCGTCTTTAGGCGCTTCCGCTGCTTGGTCATGGATTAGGGGCGCTTTGGCAGTGCGCCTGGCCGCGCTCCAAGTGGTTGTGGGCTTGGGACTGGGAGCAGCGTTAAGCGCGTGGGTCGTGGTCGTTGGCTTGGGTGGATTCGTGTGCCCGAACCGTTTATCCGCTACGAGTTTCTTCTTTCCCTTTCTGTGGCGGCGAAGTCGTCCTGTCGGGTGTGGAATCGGCGGCGGTGGCGGTGGTGGAATGCCGCCGGGGAAGAGGGAGGAGGCAAAGTCACCGTTACTGTTGGATCTGGATCTGGACATGATGGTGATCGGGGGCTTTCAAGTGGTGGTTTGCATGTTAATTTCCATGGCCAACAAGGGCTTTAATAAGGTGAAGGAAATTGCAAAGAGACTGGAATTGATGAGACGGTGAAAGATACCGACCATGAAAAATATTTCGCTGGTGTTTTCCCTGGGAAAATTGAATCCGTCTCGGTAAATCATTTGTAAGAGGGTTAGCTTCTTTGTTTCTACATGGACCTTCTTGCGCTAGAGCCGTTTCGGCATCTCGCTGGCTTTGTTCCGCGCATCACATCGATATCTGGCTCAAGTGCTCAACGCGGTCAAACAAAGAATGTTCACAGCCACTGCCGCCGATTTTGTAAGATCAAGAAAAAGTGAACATTGACAGCACGGGGAGTGAGACACCGTCTCAGTCGCTTTCGTTTTCTAGGTACCTATCTACCTATCGAGATATCGTTAACTTCCACCCTTCTTTTCAAGTTCTCTGACGAACACTTTGAATTCACAGAGCTGTCGAAAGAGCTGTCGGAAAAGCTGTCAGATGTTAGGATTCAAAATAAAGTACCCAATATACGCTGCCATGAACCCCTCAACACTAAGAAAGTATCACCAGATTGTCGCTGTCACAGTGCTTTACTAGGCTAATGTTGCTCTGTGCAGAATATAGATTTTTTTTTTTGTTTTAGATAAACGACCTAAAATACATACTATCTAGTAGAATGAAAAATGAGGTAGGTGCAACAGGAGTTTTTGGTGGGTCTTGTCACCCGGATATCCGAGCCGTTGCCAAACAACCACGCATCTACCGAAGAGGCCAGGCCCTCTCGTGAGGAGAACCCTGGCAGGAAAGGGAGCATTCATGGCCAGCCGATCAGAAGGAGGCCTCAGGACCCTGGTGTGACAAGGGCAGTATTC